CAGTCTTTGGATAATCTGCCTTTACATAACACCATTTTGTGAGCTACCAGTGGTTCAGGCCAGTCTGTCGTCTTATATAAGGCGTGAAGGTAAGACTGGCATACTTCTCAGGGAAGCTCCAGTTTTGTGATCACCTGTGAGCAGACACTTGGATAAAAACATGTATAATTTCTTAAGAACAAATAAGGATTTAAAGAGGTATTCCAGTCTATGTTCTTATTTCAGGGGGAAAAAACATCTTTCTTTGCAAGGGCACATACTGTGAAGCATTTTAATTACTAATAAATAAATTAACCCTAGCATCTCAGTCTGAAACATCTGAATTTTGCTTAATGGTCATTTCACGGTTTTCTTTAGAATAAAAGTGGGTATTCCTGTAAATATGTGTTAAGTGCCCATTCTGGTGATTTCCTTGAATAATAGCAAACTGTTTCAAGATGAATTTATGTCTTAACTTCTAGAAATATAAAACTGGAACTGTGAAATATAACATTTTTCTGTCTTTAGAGAAGTTTCTTATGAAGAGTATGGGCTAGCCCAGAACCTCAGAACAGGACTTTTTCTCATCATTTTTCTAGTAACTTCAAATGTCTGTATTCCTTCTTCCTTAGCCCTAAATCTTGCCCCCACACTTTTTTGCCTTCCCTGGACCAATCTTTTACCTTTAATCACACAGAGGAATACAGCATCAAACTGCTGAACTTCAAAGGTAATATTTTATGAATAGCATAATATCATCAGGAACAAGATATGAAGGAAACAAATGAAGGATCAAAAACAAAATATGGAACCCAAGGAAAAGCCTAGGCTGGGGGTGACGGGATGGGGTAGGAGGTTTTGGGGGAGTGGAGGATGGGAAGCCTAGGAGGACCTATTTCCCAATTTATTGCCTTTTTCTCAAGCTCTCTTTACTTATTATCTTCCATATGCAGGTCAGTTTTCTTAATCTGTAGTCTGTTACCTTCTGGGGGGTCTTGTATTTCCAAGGCACTGTGAATCTTCTATGAGAATTTTAAAACTTTGTGCTCTAAATTTTATAATATAAACATAGCATATTTGGGATCATCTGGATTGACACTTTATATTTTTGAGTGATTCTGAGTTTACATTTAAGTTAATAATTGAACTGGCTTCACATTATACTCTGAAGTTAGCATTCAAATTTTAAGGCAACATTGCCTGGCCTGCGGTACCTTGAATCTTTTGGGACTGCAGAAGTATGTCTCAGTGGTTCACAATTTCTCCTGTTTGAAAAACACTTTAAACCACTTTCTTTGCTTTTCTCATTTTTTTCATGAGAGGTAGCTGGAAAGAGGCTCATGAGAGACTAATAGAAACACACAAAAAAGCTTTTAAAAATGGTTAGTATTTTCATGCTTAAGTTACTCTACAAGAAGATATGTCAAAGAAATAATCAATCTTTCCATGGTTTCTTCCATCTACTACCTCTATAGCTTTTCTTCTTCCTTCCTAATTACAACCCTTAAATAGAATTCATGCCTCATATCGAATTTACCGAGTATCATAACTCCTCCAAGTGGTAAAGATACCTCAAGACAAATGCTGGGCATAGAAGCCACAGGGCATAAATCTGCAAAGTAAAAAGCTAAGCTTTTCAAACAATATGGCTTCTCTCTCATTTACCAACTTTACATTTCCCTGTATGGCCCTGGAAGATGACTGGTTAGCAAGAGACGGGTAAGATTCCTCAAGGGAGGAACAACCTAAGACAGGCACAGTCGCAGGGGGGCCATCAGGTGAGAAATTGGGGATCAACAGAGGTGAGGCTTAGAACCTCACCCCCCCCTGTTTTGAGAGAAATCTTCTGCATCCGTGGATGTTTTATTGCCCTTGTCTAGCTTGGATTAACAGTCTACAGGCACACACCTGATCATCTACATTTGCTCTCTTACAACACTAAACTATGTTTTCTACCTTTATCTTGCATCTACCTACCACTTCAGCATTTTATTAAAAAATAATAATAATAATAAAGGGAGAAATGTGAGATTCACATATAAATCAAGTATAAAAATCAAATGAATATTCATATTTGACCTGATTGTTTATAGTTCATAATGCGTGATCAAAACCAAAAGTTTCTGTGATGACTGCCCTTGTACTGTTCACCATGTAAGAACTTATTCACTATGTAAGAATTTGTTCACCATGTAAGAACTTGTTCGTTATGCTTCAGAAGATTGGAGACTGACGAGAATTAGGCTGGGGGTGGATTAATGATTGTGCATTGAGCATTGACTCCCCTATACAGAATTTTATTGTTGTTAACAACCATTTGATCAATAAATATGAGAGATGCCCTCTCAAAAAAAAAATTCACAATGTTCTTCAGGTATGCAATAATAAAATAAGCAAACTGTAAAAAAAATGGTATTTTGTCAGTTTATCTTCAGTATTTGACCATTTGATAAAAAAATATAAGCAACCTAGTGATCTTTGATCTTTTCAATAAAGCAAAGGTGATACTAAGATATATAATTTTGAATATATTTAGGAATTGCCAAATGCTTAGAATTATTATCTGTCCACAACTAACCAATTCCATGTCTTTATCCCTTCTGAATGAACTTGGTACATATTTTAGAACCCTTAAAGTACATGTTCATTCAGGCCAGCCCTGAAAGTATGTGTTCAGGAGGTACATCTGTCATCATGTTTGATTAGTTAGATTTTTGAGCCTCATACTTTAAAGACAGACTCAGGAAAATCAATCAGTGAATGTAACAGTTTTTTTTAGTCAAAAAAAATTTTTTTTTGCATCCTATTAAAGCCTGGTGTCCCTGGAAATGTACTGTAGTAGTTTTGGGCAAAGTGGGGATGGAGTAGGGAGAGCATAATCTTCATTTTCTTTGTCTCTTTTCCCAACTTTCCATGAGCCTGCTTACTATCTCCATTCCCCCTCTCTAAGACATCACTGCCCTCCCAGTCCTTATTTTTAGCTTGAGTCATACTTTCCACTTTTTCTTAGTCCATTTTTCTTTCATTTTGTTTCAGGCCATCTCCTATTTTTGTGAACATAATTTAAAATAACTTAATGTTATTTCTATCCCATATTTAGCATATGTATGTGAATATTTAATAAATGGTAGTCTTTTGGTTGAATAATAATACATTTATGCAAACTTGGCACTTTATATTCAGCTGCTCTTATCCTTAAAGCAATCTGGGGAAGCAGATATTGTCTGCTTTACACATGAGGAACTGAGCCTGAGAGAGACTAAGTAACTTGTGAAAGACCACATATCTAATATATGTCAAAACTCATGCTTTTTTCACAATGTCACATTCCATTCTTTAAAAAAAAAAGAGGCTGAGTGATTTCATATTCCCTTTACACTGTCGGTCAGAGATCTCATCCAGATTCATGATGACCTACAAGCCTAATTAACACCTTCTGCTACCCTCATAGCCTAACTTAAATATTTTCAATGTTTGTATATCTAATTGTGACCTTAAACTGAACCCATTTTCTCCCAACCTAACATACCCTACCAATCGCACCAGAACTTTTTGGGTTTTTTTTTTGTTATTCAGGGTCAAAACCTTGGTGTTATTCATTCATTCAACAAACATTCAAATACTATTGAGCACATTCAAGAATTGTCCTAGGAATGCTGGGGTATACAATGAATGGTAAGTTGGATGCAGTTTGTCTTCGTAAAGTTGTATAATCTATCAGCAAAGACAAACAAACAAGTAGGGGATCCAAACTAGCCTAGAGATATTAGAGAAGACTTCCTGGAGGAAGTGATGATGAAGGGGGTGGGTGTGGAGGTGTTTTCCATGGGTGAATGTCTAGGAAGAGGAAAGCATGGCTTTGCAGGAACTCAAAGACATGCTGCTGAAGCATTGAATTGCATTGGAATGGAAAGTGGCAGACATGCTAGAATTAGTTCAAGCATGAAGGGTCTGGTAAACTATGCTAAGGCATTTGAACTATCTGAAAAGAGGAAGCCATGATTTATATTGTAAAAGAATCAATCTAGTCATAAATTGGAGAATTTCTCTTTTCCCTTCCATCCCCGGAATCCAGTCTGTTACTAAATCCTGTCAATTTCTTGACTAATTTGTTCCTTCATCTGTATTCCCACTGCCACCACCGCCTTAGTCCCATCCCTTCTCTTCTCATGCTTAGATGATGAGCCCTTTAACCAAGTCTCCAGACTTTCTCCAATCCACGGGGCACACAAAGACTAAACCAACAGTTCCAAATGCCACACCAGGTTAACTGTGAGCTCCAACTCACCCATCCTGGCACTTACCATCTCTAACCTGTCATTATAATATTACCACTTAGAATCACTTTCCAACAAGGCCAGCCAGCTTCCTCGGAAATCCTCCCCCAAACAGTTCACATTCTCTCTCTCTCCTCACCCCTGCAACCTTGTAACATTATTCCCTTCTCCGCGGGCCTAATGCACCCGTGGGGCACCCTGAGGACTTAAACCAACAGCTTCTTCCTCCTTTTTTATTGCTTCTCCCCCAGCAAAGACTGTACCAAACCTTTCTGCATCGTATTGAGGCAAACGTCACAGGTTGAGGTTTTCATTTTGTCTCTCAGATTCTACTCGTATAGGCCTCACCAGGCCTGGCGAGGTACTTGGTGAGCTCAGAAAAAATGCTAGCCAACTTTAATTGAACCGAATAGGGAGAGGTTCGTGGAATATGAAGGCGCGGCGGGGAAGGAGGGGGGCTGACACACTGGAGGATGCGGCGAAAGCGCCGGGTCTCACACAAAAGACCTTCAAACACTCGAGGGGTCGAGTTTGAGGTGCGAAAAGCTGGAGACAGCCACAGGTGACAAGATACCAGCGGGCCGGCGGCTGGCCAGTTGCGGCCGTTAGTGGGCGTGGCCGAGCTAGTATCGCGGGAACGGCGGTTGGGCGGGCCGTTGGCCCCTCAGGCGCGGTGAGTTGCTAAGGAAATAACTGCCCGCCCTGCTGCGCCGTGCCGCGCGAGCTGGGCGGGGTCTGGAGCGGCGCCGTTTCCGCTTCCGCTCCACTCTGCTCCCGTCCCGTTACCGCCTCCTGGCCGGCCTCGCGCTTTTCACCGGTAACTTGCGTCTGCTGCGTAGCCGGGCCGTTGCTGCCACGCGCGCCCCGGGGCTCCGGCGCCGGCGCCGGCAAGCGTCGTGCCCCGCTCTCCTGCCCCTGAGGCCGCCGGCCAGCTGCCGTCATGGGTGCCTACCTCTCCCAGCCCAACACAGTGAAGTGCTCCGGAGATGGGGTCGGTGCTTCGCGCCTGCCGCTGCCGTACGGCTTCTCCGCCATGCAAGGCTGGCGCGTCTCCATGGAGGTGAGGCGGCAGAGGCCCATAGGCTGGCTACTTGCTGTAGGGCGGGAACCCGACAGAGAAAGGGAGCGGGGGGGATGGGGTCACCCCCGGGGAAGGGTCCGAATCTGGAGCCTGTGGCCGCAGCGGCAGTTTGGGGGGCGGCAACTAGAGCGGGCCTCAGGCCGAGAGGGAGCTGCCCGGTGCTTGGGGACTGTGTGCCCGTGGTCAGCTTGGTGGCGAGGGCTCGGCCATGTGCGGAGAGGTATCTGCTGCCACCGACCGCCCTCTCCCCGTGCCTTCGCGCCGTCCTCGTGCCATCCCAGCCCTTCAGGCTCGTAAATAGTGTGAGGTTTAATGTGGGAGTAAAGTTGAAAAGTGGGACAAAAATTTTTGAGGGGAGACAATGATTTTATTTACTTCCGTGAGGTAGAGGCAGTTATATGTGAATTACTACTTTTTAAAAATAGGTGATGTAATAATAGGCCTCTTTGGGCGAGGAGTTTGACAGTGAAAGGAAGTCTGGGCAAATAGTATGTTTCAAATTCTTAGCACCTAGTTGCCTGGCTTTGGGCACTGCATGTTAATTTCAGAGACTCAACCTGACCTCCAAGAATTGTCACTCATTTGTATTCTCGTCAGGCCTTTTACAGCTTTGGAAAACTTAAATCGTGTCAACCAGTATCATTCCTTTTTTATTATGTTTTTTTCCTTGGGATTTTTTTAAAACTTAATAATTGTCATTTGCTGTGCTTGTAGTTTATAGTTTCCTTGATTTTGCAATCATTTCATCAGGGTTTTTTTTTTTTGTGTGTGTGTGTGTGTCTTAACTTACAGAGAACTGATTTTTCTAGAAAATTTCACTTTGGATAAAGGGGAAAATGGAAACATTCTGGATAAAAAGGAGTAGCATTGGGCAAAATGGATGTGAAAGTACAAAGGAGAACAGGGAAAACTCAAGGAACTAAAGAAAAAGAGAAAAAAATAAGAAAGAGAGAAAGACATGTAATACATTGTCTTTGGGAAGAGTGTTATGAGATCTAGGCAGAGGGGCCAGGGAAATGCTCTAATTATATTTATGGGATTGAGAATTTTTGCACTTAATAGGTGGGCTTCAAGTTAACAGCCAAATCCTGTCTCCCTTGGGTATTTCTTCTAATACCTCGCTCCTCCCTGTGGTTAGCTCTGGAATGACAGTGTAAACTTAAATCATTTGTTAAACTCAAGTTTTGCATCCATGCTAGACTTTAAATGGTTCTATAATTTGGTGTAAAATTTCAAGAATGGAGGAGACCCTATAGTTCATCTCATCTTTAGCTTGGGTACCACATTTTATAGCTGAGAAATTGAGGCCCAGAAAGGTTAGGATACCTGTGCCTTGGTGGAAGAGATCTGTAGAATGAAATAGACACTTGACTAGGCACTGTTAACCATCTGTGTCAACCTGAAGTAGGCATTCATCTTTCACAGTGGTGCACAGTATTGGGTTTATAGGGTGCTTGGTAAAATTAGTCCGGGTGTTAGAAATATTTGCTATAGCTTCAAAAGGAAAACCTTTAACGTAAGGATGGGGTTTGGGTCAGTCGGTAATTTAGAGGTCCATTTCTATGGAACTTACTGGTAATGTTGAAAGATTTGAAGTGACAGTCTCACCTCACAGCATGGATTTTCCTTCCAGGTTTCTCATTCCACATTTTCCACTTTCCTCTCTGCTGCGGTTTTTCCATTTCCTTGGTACTCAGCTTTCTAGTTTCCTTATGAATTGTATTGCTTGGGTATTTAGTTTTCCAAGCCATTTGCCCAGTGATTCTGTGCTGTTTGCTTCTTCTCTGCAGGGCCTTTCTCTTTATTTTTGGTTTCTCCTCTGGTAAATGACTTTTTCATCCGTGGCTGTTGGGTTTGTAAGGATCTTGCTAGACTATTCCTTAGATTCTAATCTTCCTTCTGAGAGGTAATGACAAATCTTCCTATTATGGTTCATATTATAATTTAACCTTTGTTTGAATAGTTAAATAAACCTAATCAAACCCTCTTAAAGCCTGTTTGGGATCCTGTTCTGCTGCACTTGTACTTTTCCTTCTGGCTTTGCTTACTTTCCCCCCAAAGTATAACATAGTGTCTGTGTTATGGCAAGAAAATAACTATGCATTCTAGCCTCTTGAGTGAATCTTATTCTCAGAAAGTATATACCTGTTCCTCTTAACTTTTAGGGCTTAATTCCACCAGTTTATTAAGCCTATTGACCTTATTTGCTTGGCCCTAATGGTTCAGTTGAGGTAAGTGTATCATATCAATACACATTATAGAGGTTGCTAAAATCCTGACTGATGCATAGATTCAGTGTGAGAGAGTACTATTTTACCCCTTCTCTTGAGGCAAGGATGGCAATTATCAATAGCTGGCATTTTATACTTTCTGCCTCTCTCCAGCCCCTCTTGCTGTGGAACCAGGGTGTTTTGAGGAGGGGTAATCAAAATACCACAGTTGATGTTCCCTTCCCTTCTTCCTTCTCCATGGTTTGGAGGGATCCTCAAGCTTGTTGAGGTATGTATTTTGGGGGTTTAAAAGGTAGGTTGTGGAAGGGTGCCTGAGAAGTACATATGGAAAACCTTTGAGTTTTTTAGTGGCTAATGAGAAGTTCAGTCAAAATAGTTATAGTTGATGTAGACGTACAGGGACAAGGATACTATTAGTGTTTGGTTGTGAGGTTCTCTGGAAGAGATGAAATTGCTTTCTTTGGGAAGTTAGGCTTTTTTTGTTTGTATTCTATGAATTATATTTTTCTTTTAAGTTAAAAGGAGGTAGTATCAATACCTAGAGTATAATTTTGAGTAGGCTGTTTACTGCCATATAGAAGCTGGCTTATTAGTGGTCATAGAGGGTCACCTAAAATTGAATGTGGATAACGTTGAGCAGAAAATTATTAAGGTATTTGCATGAAATTGTCATTATATTTATGGGAAAAAATATAAAATGGGATGCCACAGGCATGCCATGGGGTTCCACTTGTAAGAGAGTATCTGAAGCTGAAGAGCACTTATTGTCTGATCCTCAGATTAGTGCCTCGTTTCTGTAGCCTAAAACATTTTTTTCTTACTGAACCAGATCAGATCCTTTGTCTAGGAAACAGTTAAGCAACTCTTATGAAAGGGCACTCTTTTCATTTGATTAGCATGCAGTAGCTATTCACAATTCAAAGGTAGTATGAAATGTTATCAAATCTGTGCTCCATGAATATAGAAATATTGTTTTTGCCATGCTATTCCTTTATAAGTTCTCAGTGACTGGAAGTTACAATCAAAACTTACTTCTTGAGGTTTCAAAAATATTTTACATAAATTATTTCTATTGCCCAATTTCCTAGTTGTTATTACTACTATTATTTCTATTGCCCAATTTCCTAGAAGTTGTTATTACTCCTTCTCCACCCCTAACCCTCTGTTTGGTTATCATCTTGGAATTGTACTGTGAGACAAGGTAAGGGCTTGAATTTGAGTGTAGAAATTTAACAGATCTTAACAGTAGATCAGTAACAGATCTGATTATTTCATGTTGAAAGCTGCTATTAAAATTACACTCCCTGGAAGCACAATCTTTAGAACTGAAAACTTAAAGCATCACTGATTTTTTTGTATTAAGATATCATTGATATACAATCTTATGAAGGTTTCACATGAGCAACATTGTGGTTACAACATTCACCCATATTGTCAAGTCCCCCCTACACACACCCTTGCAGTCACTGTCCACATCAGCTTAGTAAGAAAAGCATCACTGATACTTGACAACATGATAAACACTGAGTACTAATTCCAGTGAAGTCATTTGCTGTTTCCCTCGAGATCTAGTTCAAAGATGGAGTATATCAAGTTTTAATTATATACGGTACTTGAAAATCATTATAAAGACCCCTTTTTAAACAACTTTATTGAGATATAATTCACTACCATATCCATTGAAAGTGTATGTTTCAATAGTTAATATATTCACAGAGTTTTGCAGCCATCAATCACCACTGTCACTTTTAGAACATTTTCATCATCCCAGAAAGATACTTGTAACCATTACCAGTCACTTCCTATCCCCCTCTCCTCCAACCCCTGGCAACCACTAATTTACATTATGTCTCTGGATTTGCCTTTTCTGAACATTTCATGTAAATGGAATCATAAATATGTCACCTTTTATGTGTGGCTTCTTTTACTAAAAATAGTATTTTTAAGGGTCATCCATGTGGTATCATGAATCAATCAGTACTTCGTTTCTTTTTATGGCTGAATAATCCATTGTATGGACGTTTTGTTTATCCATGAGTTGATAGATGTTTGGATTTCCACATCTTGGCTGTTATGAATAATGATGCTATGAACATTCAAGTACAAGCTTTTGTGTGGAAACAAGTTTTTATTTCTCATGTGTATATATATACCTGGGAGTGCTATTGCTGGGTCATACAGTAACTCCATTTTTAACAGTCTGAGGAACTATCTAACAGTTTTTGTTTTAAGTGGTTGCACCATTTTACATTACTGTGTGAGGGTGTCAGTTTCTCTACATCTTCCTTCCCTACACTTTTTATCATCTGTCTTTATTATAGCGATTTTAGTGGGTGAGAAATGGTATCTCATTGTGGTTTTGATTTTATTTCCCTGATAGCTAATGAGTAGGCATGAATAGACATTTCATGAATAGTCATACCACATGGATGACCTTTAAAAATACCATTTTTGGTAAAAGAAGCCACCCATAAAAGGTGATATACTTACGACTCCGTAAATGTTTATTCATGTCTATTCAGATCCTTTGTCCATTTTAATTGGGTTGTCTTTTTATTGAGATGTAAGGGTTCTTTATATATTCTGGATACAAGCTCCTTATCAGATACGATTTGCAAATGTTTTCTCCCATTCTGTGGGCTAACTTTTTGCTTTCTTGTTGGTGTCCTTTGAAGCATAAATGTTTTTAATTTTGATAAAGTCTAGTTTATTAAGAGTTTTATAGTTTAAAAAAACTCTTACATTTAGGTCTGTGAGTAATTTTGAGTTGATTTTTGTTGTATGGTATAAGGTTGAGGTCCAACTTCAACCTTTGCATGTGGATATCTAGTTGTCCCAAGCACCATTTGTTAAAAAATCTGTTTTTCCCCTCATTGAATTATCGTGGCATCATTGTTGAAAATCAGTTGACCATAAATATGAGGGCTTATTTCTGGGCTCTTAATTCCATTGCGTTGATCTACATACTTAATGTTATGCCAGTACCACACTGTCTTGGTTACCATAACTTTGTGGCAAGGTTTAAAGTTGGGAAGTGTGATTCTTTCTACTTTGTTCCTTATTTCTTCTTTTCTGGGTCCCTTTCATTTTCATATGAACTTTAGGATCAGCTTGTCAGTTTCTCTACTAAAGGAACCTGGAATTTTGATGAAGGTTGTGCTGAATCTGTAAATCAGTTCAGTATTCCTACCTTAACAATATTGTCATAGTTTTCTTGTGATATCTGTCTGGTTATGGTATCAGGATAATACTGGCCTTATAGAAAGAGTTGTGAAGTGTTGCCTCCTCTTCTGTATTTTGGAGAGTTTTTGTAGAATCAGTATTAATTCTGATTTGGCTATTTGGTAGAATTTACCAGTGAAGCCATCTGAGGTTGGGCTTTTCTTTGTGGGAAGTTTTTTTTTCAGTATTATTTTATTTTTAATTATGGTAAAATACACATGATATAAAATTTACCATCTTAACCATTTTAACATGTACTGTTCAGTAGTGTTAAGTTTATTCACATTGTTGTGCAACCAATTTCCAGAATTCTTTTCATCTTGCAAAACTGAATCTCTTTATCCTTTAAACAGCTCCCCATTTCCCTCCCCCCAAACCAAGGCAACCATGTTCTACTTTCTGTCTCTATGAGTTTAACTATTCTAGGTGCCTCATCTACAGTCAGATTTGTCTTTTTGTGACTGGCTTATTTTACTAAGCGTAATGTCCTCAAGGTTCATCCGTGTTTTAGCATATGCCAGAACTACTTTCCCTTTTAAGGCTGAATAATATTCCATGGTATGTATGTACCACATTTTACTTATTCATCCATCTACCTTTTGGCTATTGTGAATGAAGCTGCTGGGAACATGAGTATACAAATAATACCCTCAAGGTCCTGCTGAGAAGTCCAAGATGAAGGTGGGTATCTGGTGGCCCACTCCCAGGTTCATAGATAGATGGCCATCTTCTAGCTGTGTCCTCACGAGGCAAGGGAGCTGTCTGATCTCTTTTATAAGGGCACTAATTCATTCAGGAGGCCTCTTCGTTCATGACCTAATTACTTCCTAGAGGCCCTGTCTCCAACCAAATACTGTCACATTGGGATTATGTTTCAACATAAGAATTTTACAGGGACACAAAGCATTCAGAAAATGGCAAGTGGTCATACATGCATATAATTTTTAAAGTCAGATAGTAATACATGACTTTTTTTTTATAAATGATTTTTTTTATTAGGGTGTCATTGATACACACTCTTAGGAAGGTTTCACATGAAAAGCAATATGGTTACTACATTCATGTGTATTATTAAGTCCCCCCATACCCCATTGAAGTCACTGTCCATCAATGTAGTAAGATGCTACAGTCACTGCTTGTCTGCTCTGTGCTACACTGCCTTCCCCATGACCCCCCCCACACACCATGTGTACTAATAATACCCCTCAATCCCCTTCTCCCTCCCTTTCCACCCACCTTCCCCCACCCCTTCCCATTGGTAGCTGCTAGTCCCTTCTTGGAGTCTAAGTCTGCTGCTGTTTTGTTCCTTCAGTTTTGCTTCATTGTTATACTCCACAAACGAGGGAAATAATTTGGTACTTGTCTTTCTCTGCCTGGCTTATTTCACTGAGCATAATGCCCTTTAGTTCCATCCATGTTGTTGTAAATGGTAGGATTTGTTTCTTATGGTTGAATAGTATTTCATTGTAGTAATACATGACTTTTTAAACCAAAAATGTAGTTCCTTTCCAAACCATCTTAAAATTTTTTATTTTGATTTGCAAAGATTTAAGTAGATTTACTCATCACAAGTCTAAATGGTTGATACAGTAACAAAGGAACATCTGTGGATTATTTATAACCTTAGGAGATTGACATCAGGAAGGATAACCAGGCTTCTCAGTACAGACCAATGGTTGTCTAGAATGGATTCTAGTAGGGTAAGGCCTAAGAGTCCTGACTTAAGTGACCTGTGTATTCTGAGTCATCTCCTCCAGACCATCTCAATGGGAAAATTGTTAGGATACATTTCTAGGTTTAGGGTAGAAAGTGAAAGGGGAGATATCTTTAAGGTATTTGTCCTTAGGCAGCTGGGAACTCACTGTAAGCAAATACAGAAGTCCTGCTATGTTGCAGAACATAAGTTTTAGGCCCCAGAGCTCTAAAGAAATTTAAGACAGTCTTTGCTTTCATGCTGGTTTACAATCTAGTTTTGGACCTAGGGTACCCTTTGTCCATGGAATGTTGGATAACAATACAAGATAGCATAAGCTGAGTGTCAGATTATTGGTAGAGACAATAAGTATTAAAAAGCATTTAGAGGGAAGAATGATCATAGAGTATTGGTGTGATTGAGATAGATCTTTCGGAATTGGTGAGACTAGCTGGACCTTAGGAGAAAGTATAAATGGGGACAAACAGAGAGGAGAAAAGTGGGGAAGAAAAAGAGGCAGGCATGCCACTACTTTGTTGGGGTGGGGTGATCAGTGTCAAGAGTGGAGTAGTTTCTTTTGGGATGAAAGTTAAGAGAGGTTATAGAGATGGGTAGGAATGATTATTGAGTGTCTTAAATTGCAGGTTGTATGGAATTAATCTTATATGCAGTAGAATCCATTGAAGGGTCTAGTAATAAAATGTTATGTTAAGAAGATTAATCTGGCAGCTGGATGTATGTAGGCTGGATTACAGGGGGCAGAGAGTAGAGACAGGAGTTAAAATACTATTAGGAGTAATGTAATCCAGGGACAAATTTATGTAGGAAAGCTCAGCAGGACTCAGTGATGGATGGTGGGAGACAGCCAGGAAGTTAAGGAGGACTGGCATATGGTGTTGCCGCGAGAGGAAGATTCCATTGGCAGAAATAAAGCCTATAGGGGAAGCTCTGATTTTTTTTGGAGATTGCTGGAGTTCCTGTTTTACATATGTTTATGTAAGGTGGAGAAGCCCACATCCTTATGGCAACAGGCAGTTGGAGGTATAGAACTACGATTCTTTGCAGAACCAAAGAGAACTTTCAAGAAAGCTGACATGATTTTATACTATTTAATTATATACAACAATTGGAGAGACTGAAGCCTGCAAAATGGCTACTAGGATTGCTGTTAATGTCTATTGCCTGCTCTGTGAAGTAAAATCTTGAAGAAGTGTTTGTGATTAAGAGTTTAAGGGGAGTGTTAATCTAGAAAGAGGGGAAAAGCAGAAGTGGAGAGGTTAGGGTAAAGCTACTGAGAAATTCTGAGGTAGAATAGGGAGGATGAGATAGTTCTTGAAATATGACCTTGATCTAAGTAAAGCAAGAGGTTAGGTTAGCTCATCTGCTAAGAGTGAAAGGAGGACAGCATTGAGAACTTGAGCAATGTGGGAAAGGTTTGTGACTGGCTGTGGTTAATATATTTAAGAGTCAATGTAGGATACAGGGGAAAAAATGCTGAATGGAAGTAGTGACCACAATCAACATGATTTTATGACTAGCCATACTTAGTGGCTTTGATTCAGGGGTAAAGAGCAGTTGGTCAGGTTATACGAGGTTGGATGAGTTTTCTAGATTGTTAAGACACCATGTTGAAATACTTGGCTCTGGCTCAGAAAGGGACAGAGAGAAGGAAACATAAGGGTAAAGGTAGTGAGGCTGTGATCAGAGATATAAAGAGGGAAATTGAAGTGCTTAGAGAAGATAGAGCATTTCCAAGTATACATTTATCCAGAGGCTCACCAAAGAGTAGGGGAGAAAGTAATGTGGAGTAGTACCAAAAACTCTGGCCTCAAGGCATAAAACAGATCTTTATGGTGGGCATTCCTCTTTGAGAATGAGGATAGAGAATGAGGATAGAGAATGAGGATAGAGAATGAGGATAGTGAACCAGGTGCTAAATTTCAGAGTGGAATATATATATGCTAAATTCCACTTACAAAGGATTTTTACATGTTTTGCATTATCCTCACACTAGTCCTCTGATGATATGGGTAAGGTAGATACTCTTATTCCACATTATAGAGGATAAAATCGAGGCACTGCAAGAGTTAGTTGGCCAGAGATCATGCAGTATATGGCAGCATGACAATTCAGGGGCAATTCGTAAGTTTGTTTTGTTGTTACTATTGTTTATTGTGCAAAAATTTTTAGTGTAGAAAAGTAGAAAATACTTATTACCCAACTCTCTTTCTTCACTAAGTTTAATATATAGTCTTCCAGACTTCTGAGACATATATTCAGGGACTTTTTGTGTGTGTGTGCTTTTTATCACTTAATATATTGGGAACTCATTTCCAAACGAGCACATATTATTTCTATAAGTATATATTTCATTGGAGGGATGTACTATTTATATAATCTAATCTATTCACGGAAATGTAGATGTTATCATTATCTTTTTATTATAAATAATGCTGTCATGAACATTCTTAAACATATCTGTACTCTTGTCTTATTGTTTCCATAGAATAAACTTTTAGAAATCGAATTACTAGTCAAAGGGAATGCATATTTGAAATTTTGATACATATTACCAAATTGCCTTCCAGGAAAGTTGTACTAATTTATATTCCTGTTGGTCAGGTATGAGAATGTGTTCTTACTTTAATCATATTACCATGGGATATTAATCTTTTTCATCCTAATTTGCACAAAAGGATATTTCCTTGTTTTTAATGTTCATTTTTTTATTGCTGTTGAGATTAAGTGCTTTTTAATAATGTTCACCGACGCTAGATTTTCTGCTTCCAGATCACATGGTCTTGTGAGGAACAGTTGAGGAGGTCTAAAAGATGGTTTGAATAGAACAGTGGATTCAAAAGAGATGGTACATCTGTGATCGAGAGTGGCATTGAAGGACAGAGAAAGACCAGTTGATTATCTTGTTCCACTGAGGAGGGCTGGAAAGAAAACTGCTCCTCCTTCCCCTACTAAGAAAGTAGAATTAGTTGGACCAGTTTCTCAAATTTTAGAAACTCACTGGGTCTTTTAAAAACATTGTAAATTCCAATTACCAAGTACTGTATAAAGACAATGTTTAATTATGTTACTTGTTGGGAAGATACTCTTTTCTAAATATATCTTCCACCTAGCCCTAGCCTGATGGTAATTTACCGAGTTAAACTTTGAGAGATGAGGGGAATAATTTGTTTAGATGGTGCTTATTTTGGGGGGCAGTATATTGTATATAGCTTTACAAATTTCTAGTGCTTTCACTTAGGCTGTCTAGGATTTGGGTTGGTAAAGCTCTTTGGTCTCTTTTTTCTGTCTCCTCTAATATTTCTTCCTTGAAGTTCACTCATTCACAGAAATAGGTCTGGAAGTGACTTTAAAGATACTTTATTCTAGTTCTTCCTGTGGTTGCCACATATCCAAAAAGTTCAGGTCTAGAGTTCCAGCAGCCAGACATTCTGCCATCTGGACTGAGATCTCCTAGGCTGAGGCTACTAGAGTGCAGAGGTAGTGACCTGATTCATTTCTCTCTTCCTTCATCCCTCTCTCCTTCCTTTCCTTTTTTCTTTCTCCCTTCCCTCCCTTGCCCTCTTTCCTTTCTCCCTCTCTTCTACATTTTTTCTTATTTTTCTCATCCCATTTTCCTTTCTTTTTTCTAAGTCACATACATCAGCCAGGGAAGGGTTAGTAGATTAAGGTGTGATGGTGATCTCATGACCTGAGGTGCACAAGGAAGAATATCCTTTGATCCTAAGGAGTGCTAATTATGCTCTTCTTTTTCCTAGGATGCTCACAACTGTATTCCTGAATTGGACAGTGAGACAGCCATGTTTTCTGTCTATGATGGACATGGAGGTAACTTCAGCAGATCATGTTGGTGACATTCTAGGAGCCCAATTTCAGACTTCAGAGGGAAAGAACAGGTCCTTTATTCTTTCACTTTCCAGAATTCTGGTCTTTGGATACCATTTCCTGCCCAGTGCTGTTTTTCTCTATTCTGCCATTCTTCCTCCCCAATAGGATACTGAATTGGTTCATAATCTCACCAGGCCTTTTTTTAATCCAAGAAACATTTATCTTTTTTTTTTTCCACTGAGAACTAAATATACAGGTGAGAAAAGACAAGGGATATATTAATACAGCTCTGACAAAGGTAATGGTGAAGTCCATTTTTGGGTCAGAACTTCCCAAACATTGTGTTTCAAATAGGTTCATTTATGCTAAGACATTTAATTCCTCAGTTTTGGGGGTTCATGCCAGTCTGTCATGTAAATAGAATACCACTTTGTATGTGTGGGAATTAGTACTCTGGGTGACCTTACCTTTCTTCTAGGGGAGGAAGTTGCCTTGTACTGTGCCAAATATCTTCCTGATATCATCAAAGATCAGAAGGCCTACAAAGAAGGCAAACTACAGAAGGTCTGTCTTCCCACAGCATTCATTCTCCATTTCTATAGGCTTTTCCTTATTTTCTAGTTCTTGACTTTCCTTTCTCATTGCCACCAGCTTCTTCTTACTGCATTTCTTCTTAAGAAATTCTGTGTCTTCAATGAGTATGTTGCCAACGTGGACCTTTTTATTCTCAGATATCTGGACTGTTTTTTATTTATATGTGAATCTTTCTTAGTGTGGCAGCTCACATTCTAATTTGTATCCCATCATGCTCAGGATTGTATATAGGCAGTTCATTTTATACCCACTATATTTTTAACTGTACTTGCCTCATACTATTTTGTTTATATTTAGGCTTTGGAAGATGCCTTCTTGGCTATTGATGCCAAACTGACCACTGAGGAAGTTATTAAGGAGCTGGCACAGATTGCAGGGCGACCCACTGAGGATGAAGATGAAAAAGAGAAAGTAGCTGATGAAGATGATGGTGAGTGTGGCATCCCTTGTTTAAGAGAAAATCAGCATTTAAGAAAGTATTATTTAATATATATTATTTATGTATCAATTCTAAGAGAAGATGACTTCCTAGGAGCTTGGGGAGTCTTCACATTAAAGAACGCTATGTGCTCCTCCACTAAATGTGGTTATGAAAAAGAGAATTGACTTTTGTTGAGTGCCCAGTGTCATAGTTGTAAGCATTTTTTTATATATTGTCTTTTGCCATTGTGATGGGGTCTTTTGGGTTCCTATTAATGTTTATGTGGCCTTTTTTTTTTTTCCAAGCTGAGTTATCATTGGCCGCAGCTGCCAGTCATTAAGCCTGGACCTTGGGCCTGGACTAGCAGTGTGGACCTCATGGTTCCTCAGCCAGAATAGGGTTTCCAAATACCAATAAAAAATGATAAGTGATGAGGGAAAATATAGCAACTAGTGTTACTTAGACTAAGAAGTGGGTGAAAAAAAAGACCAAAGAAAGTCTGTGGAGGCAGTGTTACCTGAGAAGGAAGCAATGAGGTGTTCTTCTGAAACGTATGTGAGAGCAGGCTTAGGAGTAGGAGGTGGTGGGCAAGTTGGAACTCAGGCTGCAAGTGCTGTAGAGGCAATAAGAGGGACTGATCCCATGAGGAGTCTGGCATGGGGTGCTGATTTTAGCCTCTTCTGTGCAGTGGACAATGAGGAGGCTGCACTGCTGCATGAAGAGGCTACCATGACTATTGAAGAGCTGCTGACACGCTATGGGCAGAACTGTCACAAGGGTGCTCCCCACAGCAAATCTGGAGCTGGGACAGGCGAGGAGCCGGGGTCCCAGGGCCTCAATGGGGAGGCAGGATCTGATGACCCATCTAGGGAAACTTCAGAAGAAAATGGCCCTATAGCCAAGGCCCACAGAGGCCTTTCCTCCAACTCAGAACGTGGGACTGAGGCAGGCCCTGGTGGTGAGCCTGGCACTCCCACTGGTGAGGCTGGGCCTTCCTGCTCTTCAGCCTCTGACAAGCTGCCTCGAGTTGCTAAGTCCAAGTTCTTTGAGGACAGTGAAGATGAGTCAGATGAGGCGGAGGAGGAAGAGGAAGACAGTGAGGTAAGGGCCTGTGGGAGCTAGACAGATGATGAATCTGCGAAGGCCTGTTTGGTCACCATGCGTAGCTTTCAACTCTTTTCTTTCTCCTATTTTTACATCATCCCTCAAGCTTTTCTTGAATTCATTACCTCTACCAACACAGGTACCATTAGCCTTCTTATCTCCTCCTATCTTAATGTTATAATAGATAGATCTAGTTCATGCCTTTCTAGAATCTGTCTTCTAGAGAGAGAACAAGATGATTGTTGTTACTTTGGACTGGCTGTTTCCTTCCCTGGCCAACTTATTTTTGGCCATGTTGCCTGAAAGGTGTTTTTGGCTGACAACCCTGGCCTTCTCCAGGGCTTCCTGCTGGTGACTGCTGAGCCCAGTTCAGGATACCAGTTATACCCATCCTAGCTCTCCCCTCCACCACATTTCCCCATCATGATCATTGAATTGCATCTTTCAGTGTTTTGAGGACCTGTGTTCAGTCAGGGCCTCTTGGTTCTGAGTATGATTTGGGTGGAGGGGGGCAGGGGGTCATCCCAGCCTCAGCAGCCTGGGATCATCCCTCTGGCAGGAATGCAGTGAGGAGGAGGATGGCTACAGCAGTGAAGAGGCAGAGAATGAGGAAGATGAGGATGACACTGAGGAGGCTGAAGAGGATGAGGAAGAAGAAGAGGAGATGATGGTGCCTGGCATGGAAGGCAAAGAGGAGGTGTGTGGGGAAGGGAAGCAGTGAGTTTGGGCAAGCCAGGAGGTAGTTGTGAATCCCCTGATTTTGATACGGGGACAGGGAAGCTCTTTGCTATCTTAGTACTGAAGTTATGGACATGGGGGAATTCATTCTACAAGGGAAACTAGATCTTTTGGGTAGAATTATTTCAGAGAAGGGAGGGAGCATGCTGTAGTCTCTGAAAAGGTTAAATCTGTGCTTTGCCTATTTGTTAAAGCTCTTTTGGTGATCCTAGGGAGAGGACAAAATATAAGTGAATGGTCAGGAGAGCACCAATAAGGAGCTTGTGTTCAGAAGTTCTGTGATGCTCCCTTTCTTCTTCTTAAGCCCGGCTCTGACAGTGGTACAACAGCAGTGGTGGCTCTGATACGAGGGAAGCAGTTGATTGTAGCCAATGCAGGAGACTCTCGCTGTGTGGTATCTGAGGCTGGCAAAGCTTTAGACATGTCCTATGACCACAAACCGGAGGATGAAGTGGAGCTAGCGCGCATCAAGAATGCTGGTGGCAAGGTCACCATGGATGGGCGAGTCAACGGGGGCCTTAATCTCTCCAGAGCCATTGGTAAGGGACAGAAAACTACGGGAAAGACTTCTGGTGTCATATTCTCTGTTCCTGACTACCTAGGAGCAAACTTTAATCTCCATAGCCCTTGTACCATTCCAAGTAATCTTATCCTACCTCCTCTGTCATTAAATGTCTCTATGAGTTAGGAAAGATAGGTATCATTTTTGGATTACGAAAATGGCTAGTGACTTAACTAAGGTTCAACAACCTGAAGACAGGGCTGAAACTAGAAAAACTAGTTCTCTATTCCCTTAGATTATGTGGGAAGTGCCCAAACTACTTATTGACTAACCATTCCTTTACCTCAGGAGACCACTTCTACAAGAGGAACAAGAACTTGCCACCTGAGGAACAGATGATTTCAGCCCTTCCTGACATCAAGGTGCTGACTCTCACCGACGACCACGAATTCATGGTCATTGCCTGTGATGGCATCTGGTGAGCACCAGTGGAATGCCCTAAAATTCCATTTTTTTTCCTGCAGTGTTACTTCTCTTGTAGGGCTCTTGAGCTGCTTTGGCTTTATCATCCCTCTAAAGGCTGCATTCAGCACCTTTTCTTAAGATGCTCTAGGATTAGAGCCTAGGCAGACATCTTGGTGTCAAGACCCCCAAGCCTAAGGCAGAGCTGAGGACAATCTCTGTAGGTGTTTATTGGCCTTGGAGGCTATCACCTCTGTCCATATTCCTCTCTCTGCCTTGCTGGAACTAAAGACTATTGTTTCTAATCCCAGGAATGTGATGAGCAGCCAGGAAGTTATAGACTTTATTCAATCAAAGATCAGCCAGCGTGATGAAAATGGAGAACTTCGGTTATTGTCATCCATCGTGGAAGAGGTGAGTCCCAGGGTGGAGTTGAAAGGGTATCTGGTCTGCCAGCCAAGGTTTTGTCTTTTGACCTGAGCTAAGACCAGAGCTGGGGAGTATCATTAATTATTAACATGTCAAACTCTTGATTAGAAAGTTCCACCTTCTCTCACTTCCTTGACTTCTCCTTATTCCTCATTCAGTAGCAAGTTGTCTGTTTTGTGATAAAACTGTTGCCCATTCCCCTGTTTTTGCCACATTGTCTTGGAAATGGGGCCAGCCCTCGTGTGGGACTTTAAGTTCCCAGGAAGGTGTTCAGCTCTGAAGCTGAGCTACCTTGTCCTTTTGTAGCTGCTGGATCAGTGCCTGGCACCAGACACCTCTGGGGACGGTACAGGATGTGACAACATGACCTGCATCATCATTTGCTTCAAGCCCCGAAGCACAGCAGAGCTTCAGCCAGAGAGTGGCAAGCGGAAACTAGAGGATGTGCTGTCTATTGAGGGGGCTGAAGAAAATGGCAACAGTGACAATAAGAAGGCCAAGCGGGACTAGTGGTTGTCCAGACCCCTGCCCATCTAGACTGTTTTCTGAGCCCTTCGGACTTGGGACTGAGTTTTGTCTTTTTCCTTTAGCCTTAGCAGTGGTTATGAGGTGTGCAGGGGGAGCTGGGTGGCTTTCCTCAGCCCATTCCAAGGAGGGCGCTCCCTCCACACAGCAGCCTGGGAGCCTCTGCCGTCCTCCCCAGCTTCCTCCTTGCTCCTTGGGGCTCACCACCGGTTCTGTGCCTGTGCTCTGTTGTGTTGAAGGGAAGACCGGAGGTTCTGGTTTTTACTCTGTGAACTTTATTTAAGGACATTCTTTTTTATTGGCGGCTCCATGGCCCCCAGCCGTTTGCACCCGCTCTCTGTTGTATACTTTCAATCAACACTTTTTCAGACTAAAAGCCAAACCTAATCGTGCCCGTGGTGTCCTTTTTTCCTCTTCTGCCGTCCTGTCCTGGTCACCCAGGGTGCTCTGGTGCCGTTCTTACCCCATCGGTAGCTTCCATCGAGCCCTTCCCTGCGCGCGTGCGTGTGTGTTTGTGGGGTGGTGGGGGTGTGTGTGTAGAGGAGAGGGCCCTTGGGTATTGTAACCTCCAGCTGCTGGGGGGCCTGGCAGGTGTCGCAATTCTCACCCCCTCCTGGAGTCACTAGGAAGAATTCCTAGTCTCTCCAGGGAGGGGTCAGGACCGGCAGGACGGCTCCAGAGGATGAAGCCAGGGGCGGGGCTTTTCCTGCCCCCCCGTCGGTAGTCCTGTTTCTACTTGATACTCTGATTGGTTAGTCCGCTTCCTTTCGGTACAATTACTTCCTGGTCATGCTGTGGAAGGTTTTACAGCTTGCCCTCTTAACGGACTACGCGTCCCGTGTGGCTCTGCGGAAGCGGAAGCGGAAGCGAGTACGGAGGTACCAGCTGGTCTCCGTAGGGGGGGTGGGGTAGGGGGCTCCATGAATGGACGCGGCGGCGGCGGCGGCGGGAGCGGCCTGAGCTGGGCGCCGGGGCCAGGGCCGGGGGCTGCCCGGGACCCGCGCCGCTGCATGGGGGCGGCTCGCGGGCCATAAGAGAAAGGGCGGGCGGGTCGAATTGGGAGGGGCGGGGTTGGGCGGCCGCAGGCCGGAGGCGCGTCGGGCTGGAGCCGGTCACGATGCCCCGAAGGAAGCAAAGCCACCCACAGCCCGTGAAATGCGAGGGGGTCAAAGGTCAGGGGTCAGGTGTCCCGGTGGGGGGGCCGGGGGTGGGGTCAGCGAGTGGGTTCAAGTTTGGGTGGAGGGGGCTCCGAAGGGATTGGGGTGGGTGATCTGGACACTAGGCTTCCCACTCAGCTACTAGGGGAACCTGATAGGGTCTAAGTACGGTCTACGAGGACTGTCTCCCTGGTTGCGGATGATGGGCACGGCTCTTGAGGGAGACTCTACAAGCCCCTTCCCCTCTTCAGTTGATGCCGAAGACTCCCTCGACGAAGGACCCGGGTCCCTGGTATTGGAGAGTGATTTGCTACTAGGCCAGGATCTGGAGTTTGAGGAGGAGGAGGAAGAGGAGGAAGGTGACGGCAGCAGCGACCAGCTCATGGGCTTCGAGAGAGACTCTGAAGGTGGGTTGGAGGGACTTGGTTAAGAATTAGTTATGGCTGTGACCCCAGCCCTTAAAGAAGCAGGTTAGGGTTTAGTGCCAGGGAGCAAAACACCGTCTCCTAGTTTAGTTTAGTTTAGATTTAAGCTAGGTTTCTTCATATGCCTGATGGCTCAGTCGGCTCCATCACTTTGTTGAGGTGAAATTCTAGGGCCTGGTCCAAACGTGGTATGACTAGGATAGTGGACAAATCGCATGTAGCAACTGGTTAAAAGGAAATGCCCCCTTAATAACCTTCTCCTCTTCCCCAACCCATACCTTATGTGAGTTTTAAGAGGTTTAGTGAAGCAACTTGTCATTCAAGCTGGTGCTTATATCTAATCTCTGTCCCTTTCCTCTGCAGTATAAGCTCCTTTTGTATTGAAGTTTTAGTTTTTACCCTCAAGTATTCTTCCACATTACTCTTCCCTTTGATCTTAGCGTATCCCCATCCTAATTTGCTGCACTGTCTATCCACTAATGCCACCTATGAAGGGTGTTTATGAAAATCATTGAAGAGTCTTCCATGTAAAGAGAATCCATCCTTTAAAGTGGTATTACATGCATTACTTTGTTTCTACTCTTCAAATTTGGCCTCCCTCTTGAGATAGTTATTTTATAATCAACTCATTACTAAAGGGGACTTTACTAATATAGAACTTAGAATAAGGTTTCAGGCCTTTGCCTTTAGTATTTTTACTTCCTTATCCCAAGAATCAGCTAATTCTGTTATTTGATGCATTTCAGGTTATAGTTCACTATGAGCCTTCGATCTTTTTCTGTTCTGTGGAACTAAGTACACTTGTCATCACTTGGTTAGCTTAGGCTCAGAGATAAGACGATTCGTATTGAATTTTGGGGATCACTGAAGCACAAAGGGTGGGACCAAGCCATTAGGGACACAGTGAGCAAGAGAGTTTGGAGCCTGGTCCTACCCCATGTTGATGTCTCTTCTCATATCTGTCTTACCAGGAGACTCTCTGGGGGCCAGGCCTGGGCTTCCCTATGGGCTGAGCGACGATGAGTCTGGGGGCGGCCGGGCACTGAGTGCCGAGAGTGAAGTTGAGGAGCCAGCCAGGGGTCCAGGGGAGGCCAGGGGTGAGAGGCCAGGCCCAGCCTGCCAGCTGTGTGGGGGGCCGACAGGTGAGGGGCCGTGTTGTGGGGCAGGAGGGCCGGGTGGGGGGCCCCCGCTGCCCCCACGGCTACTGTACTCATGCCGCCTCTGCGCCTTCGTGTCCCACTACTCGAGCCACCTGAAGCGGCACATGCAGACACACAGCGGGGAGAAGCCGTTCCGCTGTGGCCGCTGCCCCTACGCCTCAGCCCAGCTCGTCAACCTGACGCGACATACCCGCACCCACACTGGCGAGAAGCCCTACCGCTGTCCCCACTGCCCCTTTGCCTGCAGCAGCCTGGGCAACCTGAGGCGGCATCAACGCACCCATGCGGGGCCCCCCACTCCTCCCTGCCCGACCTGTGGCTTTCGCTGCTGTGCTCCACGTCCAACCCGGCCTCCCAGCCCCACAGAGCAGGAGGGAGCAGTGCCCCGGCGACCTGAAGGTAAAAAACTGGAGACCAAAGAACCCGGAATACAGGTGGGTGGCCCTGGCGATACTTGGATTCATAGCCCAGCTCTCATTGTGCCCACAGATGCTCTGCTGCTCCCAGATTTGAGCCTCCATGTGCCACCGGGTGGTGCCAGTTTCCTTCCAGACTGTGGGCAGCTGCGGGGTGAAGGAGAGGGCCTGTGTGGGACTGGATCAGAACCACTGCCAGAGCTGCTATTCCCTTGGACCTGCCGGAACTGTGGACAAGAGTTGGAAGAGGGAGAGGGTACTCGGCTGGGTGCTGCCACCTGTGGGCGTTGCATGCGAGGAGAGGCTGGAGGGGGTGCCAGTGGGGGACCCCAGGGCCCCAGTGACAAAGGCTTTGCCTGTAGCCTCTGCCCGTTTGCTACTCACTATCCCAACCACCTGGCCCGGCACATGAAGACACACAGTGGTGAGAAGCCCTTTCGCTGCGCTCGATGTCCCTATGCCTCTGCTCATCTGGATAACCTGAAACGGCACCAGCGTGTCCACACAGGAGAGAAGCCCTACAAGTGCCCCCTCTGCCCCTATGCCTGTGGTAACCTGGCCAACCTCAAGCGTCATGGTCGCATCCACTCTGGGGACAAACCTTTTCGGTGTAGCCTTTGCAACTACAGCTGCAATCAGAGCATGAACCTCAAACGCCACATGCTACGGCACACAGGCGAGAAGCCTTTCCGCTGTGCCACCTGTGCATACACCACAGGCCACTGGGACAACTACAAACGCCACCAGAAGGTGCATGGCCATGGTGGGGCAGGAGGGCCTGGCCTCTCTGCCTCTGAGGGCTGGGCCCCACCTCACAGCTCCCCTTCCGTTTTGGGTGCTCGGGGTCCATCGGCTTTGGGTGCCACTGGTAGCCGGGTTCTCCATACAGACTCCCCCTGAGCTAGGTTCTTCCTCAGGGCCCTATGGATTAGCCCTGACCCCCCGTGTGTTTTATACAGATGGACCAGAAGCCACCTTCTTTTTCTTCCCCCGCTGGCCAGGGGCTCCACACAGACTGACCTAGGCACTATATGGACCAGCCTAAACAACGGGGGTGGGTGGAGGGGGCCAGGAGCCCATATGGACCAGGGGCCTTGCCTTGACTGATGCACTTCATGAGCTCAGTGAGAAGGGTCCTGTATTCACCTCCATGCTCCCAGGGGCAGTGGAGGAACTGGTTGGGGGACTGCCCAGACTCCCACCTGGTTATTTAACTTATTTCAGTGCTTTATAATAAAGGAAACACTAACAAAGCCATGTCTATGCTGAATTGGCGTGCCAAACAGCTCGGCCTCACCCTTAGCACAGCAGTCCATGCTGAGATGGGGGAGTGGGGCAGTGAGGGAACCAGAGGTAGGCAGCAGTCAGGCTGAGTTTAATGATGGGAAGCTGGGCCAGACCACACACAGACCTCTGCCTATCCCCTTGGCCCATGGCCCTGAGGGGCCAGAAGCAGCCCAGGGGAAGCTAAGGTACCTCCCCAAGGAAGACAGCCATGGTCCCTTCGATTTTGTGCAAAACACTAAATGCTAATTTGGCTTTGAGGGCCAGCTCTGAAAAGGGGACAATCCTTTGTGCAGCCAACCCTTGGGGAGAGAAAGTGGGTTAGGAGGCCCCTGGCCAAGAGGAGAAAAGGGAAGGTAAGAAGGAAAGACCCCCTGGCTTGGGGGATACAGGCACAGGGCAAGTTTCTGAACATTCTTCCAGGGGAGAGGGCAGACATCTGAGCACCAGAGATCACAGATCCTCATCTCCAATGCCCTCAAAGGCGAAATTGCCATGGACATCACTGGCACTGGCATCTGTGCTGGGACTGCTGATCCCCCGCAAGCTCACAGCACTCAGCTTGCTCTGTAAGAAAGGCAGGGTCGGTGGTCAGAGGCTGGAGCCTTCTTAGAATCCCCTGCAAACACCAACCTCATGGGTAACTCACTGAGAGTTTGACCACGGATTCCCGGCTGGCATCAGGTGACTCCTGGAAGAGGAGGTAGAGGTGTTAGAGACCTCTCAGGGAAGGTGAGGCAAGGCTGAGGGCCAGGGTACTGACCAGGGAGTAATACTTACAAGCAGTGGTGGGGACTTCACTACTTGCTGGCTGTCTGAGCGTCTTAGGGGGCCGCCTACCCGCCGGCGCAGCATCTGTGGATGGAGACATGAGGTGCCATTAGAACAAGTTCTCTCCCTTTGGAATCCCAATCACTTCCTGGCCCTGTCAGAAGCCCTGCATCTGGGACAAAAGTCAGGAAAAATAGAACCAGTCAGCCCCTTGGCCCCTGTTTGCTGCTTACCTTCCTGATACTGCCACCGGATTTCTTCACCATCAGTTCATCCACCATGGACTGCAAGCAGATGCTCATCATGATAGCCTGAAGGCAAGAGAGCTCAGCCTGAGAAGATGGTCATCCTGAGCCCAGCAACCCTGAGACAAGGGCTCCCACTCATGTGGAGTCCTGGAAGCCCTAGACTTGGGTATCTAAGATGGTGCAATGGGCTCCCAAGGCCTAAGGGTGGGCTCACACCTGGGGGCTGGTGATGGTGACCCACTGTAGCCGGTCCTTGCTCATGAGGTATTCAAAAGCCAGTTCTAGGCGTACCTCACCACGGCCACGGCCTGGGCTGCTTGTGCCTCCACTGGGCAAAGGCACCTGGAAAAGGAAGAGGAATGGGGCTGAGTTCACTGCAACCAGTCTCCCTCCCTCCCTGACCCACTGTAGCCCATTCCCGAAGCTCAAGGCTTGCCAGGTTGCCATCCCAAAGGCCTTCCCCACCCCACACCCCAACTCACAGAGGAGGTGACCCTCCAGCACCGCATGCGGGTGACCCGGAAGGAGCCTTCCCGGAGTTGCTGGCCAGGTAGGCGGAGCTGGAGGCTGAGCTCACTGTTGCCTGCGCTCACCACCACGGGACAGTCCTTCTCTGGGAAGTCGGCCACACAGGCATCGAAGCGCAAGTAGCCATAGTGCCGCAGCGTCTGAGCCAACCGCAGGAACTGAAACCCAGGCACCATGTGAGGCAGGTCACAAGGGAAAGCAGGGTAGCTCAAGAAAGCAACCCCTCAGGAGGGAGACAGGCAGGGCTCACCTCCTTCTTAGAGACCTTCTCTTGCAGAGATTTGAGCTGCCGGTGCTGCTCCTTGGTGACCAGGATCCACCCACGCTCAATGTCTGATACTGTCTACAGTGGAAACAATGGGTAGGAGGTTCAGGGCTCCTCTAGTCCAGTGTCCAGCCTGAACCCTAGCCCCACACTTGAGCGACCTCTTGCAATAAGTCCTTCACCATATCAACTTACAAAATAGGGAGACTAGAGCTTGTGCCAGGTGCCCTGATAGTATTCTAGAACTTCCCCATGAACTGACAGTAAAGTCATGAACAGAGTTTTCTCGGCAGAGTGGGACACGAGAGTCATTTTCAGGGGAAAGGTTCTGAAACAGCTCCAAGCTCACCTGAGCATAAAGCAGGTTTAGGCCAACCCGGTTCTCCATGACATCATCATCATAGGCAGAGTCCCAGTAACTGCGAAGCCAAGAGGTGGAAAGGGTTAATGGGGCTAAGCCAGGGTTAAAGCAAGAGATAGGAAAATAGGACAAAACAGGAGCAATCTAGGACTGTTAGATTAACGGTGGTATAGTGGGTGGGGGGAAGCTTGGGACGTCTGGAAGAAACACCCAGTGCTACCTCCTTGTCCAGATTATTCTGTCTCAATACATGGCCCAGTAATTCAATCCAGCACCCATCCCCTCCTCCAAGCCCAGCCCTGACCTCTTCCTTAGCACAATCTTATACTCTTGACTCCGAAGACTGGTAACAGACACATAGGGCAGCTCAAATTCTTGCAACTTGCGTACAACTATAGGTTTAAAAAAAAAAAAGGGAGAATGTCATGATACTCAAGGAGAGGGAAATCAAAAGAGAAGCCCTGAGGAAATGCCACATTCTAGGGGGAGAAAGGGTGGCAAATTCACCACTAGAAGCACAAGGAAGCAGTAAAGACCAGAGACACTCACAAGAAAAGGCTCCATCCTCTTTTTCTCGAACTAGAAAGAGACTAAAGTATCCAATCAGGTCATCTGGAAGATCCAGCTTTGCAGCCACAGCCTGAGGATAGGGAAAGAAGTACAGCTCATCACACTGGCTGGTTCCAATCACCCCCACAGCTTGGGAGCCTGGAGCAGAGGGAGGAAGGGCAGGACAGAACAATGGCCTCACCTCCAGGACATCCTCAGTCTGATCTGAAGTTAGCACATTGACCAGAACCTTCTGCCCATTGCTGAGCAGCACTTCCAAGGAGACCTCCTCTGTAGGAACCTGCTGTGTCTCCTGGTTACGAGCATATATGGGAATAGGAGGCACAGCCTTGTTAAACCTGTCTAGTATCCAGCTCTGACCCACTCCCAACTCTCAATTTCTAGCTTCATCTGGTATATTTAGTCTCAGCATGCTTAATTACAGGTTGGTTTTCCTTTTCATTGGTACAGCAGAAGCTGCATTCCATAAAAAGTGCCAGGATGACTCCTCTGTAGCCACCTCATTAAAATGATGTATTCCTACAGGAAAGTTTCCTTAAATCCAGGGCCCACACAAAGCCTTACCTGCTGTGCCCGACGCAGGAAACTATTGAAAGTCTCACTGCTTCCAAGTAGGGGGTCTTGCCGAACTGTGGGGACAAGAAAATGATGTTCCAGTAATTTAGGATTTCTTTTTGGCTCGCCTAGTTCTCTCCTTGGTAGGTTCCCTCCTACCCCATTTCCTGGGCTGATGGTGGCTGGTCACATCCCCTAGCTGGCTTCACCTCACTCACTGCATAAATTCTTCACCTGCCCCACCCTTGGCTGCCATCTAGTTGAGTCCAGTCTATAGAACTAGGGAAATAGCAGTGATGTTAATCTAAAACATATCAAATAAAAATTAAGTTCTCCCCACCTATCTAAAATTGCTTTAAGACCATTTAGTGTTATATTAATATTTCTCATAGATATTAGTCCCAAATTGCTCTGCGAGTTAAGTACCCAGAGCATTCTTGCATGCTATTTATTTTTGATAATTAAGTAACAGATCTACAAATAAATTTAGGACCTTTTACAGAACCTATGGCTGTTTTGAGAGTCTTCCCATAGTCCTCAACACAAGTCAGTCTAAAGTTCCCTCCAACTCACCAGCTTGCATGTACTTCTCTAATTGCTCTCTTCTTTGTTCTACCTCAGCTGGTGTCAGAGAGAAAAGCTTCTTTGGGGGAAATGAAGGAAGCACATTGGCCCCATACTCCTTCCGAAGCTGTTTGGAGAGAGAGAGAGACAACCTTTATATAAACAAAGCAAGTGAGGTAATCCACACTCACAATGTTCTTCTGGGCTCCCCTTTCCCTGCCTCCCTCCCTGTTCCTCTGTCTACCCTGATTATCCAGGAAATAATTCCTTTGGCAGATGCTGAATCCCAAGGGAGCCATTCTTCTGTCCTAGATATAAGTTCTTTCCTATCTTGCTATGTACAAGTCAGCCCCTTCACTGTGGAGGGGTTTGTAAGGGGCTAGAGCCTAGGGAGCCCCTTGACTATCTTGCAAGACTGTTCACTGAACCTTCACAGGAAGCAAAAGGCCTTGTGAGGAAAATTTAAGGGCGCCCATAGTTATTTAATAGTTAAGTAAGTTCACAAAGTATCTTAGGACTTAAAAGGGACTTTGCAGATCAATGAATCCATTTTTAGTTCTAGAAACAGAGGCCCAAATAAATTAGGTAATTTGGGGTTGTACTACTTATTGGTAGAAAGACTATACTGAGTTAAATACAGAGTTCACATTCTGGTGACAAGAACAGAGAAACATTGCATCACAGATACGTAAGGATAACTGGAACAACCAGGTGCAGAGATGAGCCAAAAAAACAGAAATAAATTGGTGAATGATTTCTATGAGCAGGGAAAAGATTTCAAGTTGCAGCTCAAATAACAGAAGGAATGTGCTTTGGCAGTGGATGGGGAATAAGGTCGGTTTTTCGATGCACAGGCAAAGGCTGAACACGGGACGGGGCAGCAGAAAGGAGGATGTGAGTATAGAAGGAGCAGTCACAGAAACAAACATTAAGCTTCATAGGGAGTTCCCCGAAAATGTCAGACGATGAGATAAAGCAACAGATATTCCCTGTGGCAGTGATTCAAGGGGAACTACAGCCGACGGGAAAACGACCAAGGGGAATAGGGAGCCACTGATGCCCAGGTGTAGGAAAGGGCTTGAAGCTGCCTCAAGGTAGAGGTGCAAGTTCCACCTGCTCGTGTAGCCCCAGGAGCTGGCTGTAGCGCACCCGACAGTGCAGGACTCCATTCACGTGAATGTTGTAGGCCTGAGGGCACAAAAGCAGACAAGCATTTTAGGGTCGGAATCTGGAAGACCCCTTTGGGGACCATGGCCGAAAGTTGCCTGGTGCCGAGATCTTAAGAAGGTTTAGTCTGTTTTCCCCAGAGCCAGGTCCCAAACAGAAGGAAGAGTCCGGGGGAAACTCGGGGGCTTGTGCCGCAGTCTCCCTCCCTCAGAGGCCAGTGACGCCCACCAGAGCAGCCGCGGCCCTGCCAGGGGAGGCGACGCAGCCGAGCACAAGAGCCCGGGCGGCCTTTGGACGGATCTGAGACGTGATATAAGCTACCAACAAGGCCGTCGGGAGCCGGCGGCCTGGGACCAGGCCCGAAGAGTGGCGGCCAGGCCTCGGAGACTGCTCCAACAGGGCTCCGGCCCGTTATCCCCGCCCCTGCCCGGCCCGGCTCCGGCCGCTCCTCACCACATAGGCGGAGCCGCCGCTGTCCCCGCTGCGGGACTCGGTTTCAGGAATGGAAAAGTGCATGTTCCCTGCGGCGGTCCCAGTCGGGCTCCGGACGTGGAGGGCCGCAGCGGCTTTGCACGCTAGCCTCCGCTGCTCAGCGAGTACCCGCAGCCTCACTCGCCATTTTGGGGAGGGGGCCAGAGATCCGAGGTGGGAAGGGCTGTGGGACGTCCGCTGTGGGGCGCAGCCCTTCGGGCATGCTGGGAACCGTAGTCTACAGGGCAAGGAGAGACTGCCAGGACCTGGATCCCGAGGTTGGGATGGCCCTCGTCTCCACCCGTAGCCCGGGGCGGGGCCCGCCCCAGTGCAGCGCGGAGTCTGTAGTCCGCTTGGGGCTGCGTGCCGCGGGTGTAGACCCAGGGGTCGCTGTAGTCCCAACAAGCGCTGAGGGTGGAGCCTAAGACGGAGGGTGATGGCTGCCGCGGCTGTGGCTGTTCGCGAGGGTGAGTGGAAGTGCTGGGGCGCACAGACAGGTACGCTAGCGGACGGGCCCCGGACGGCTGCTGCTAGGCCCTGAGCCCTTTTGGGCTCGGTCGTTCCGTTCCGGCGGCACGCCGGACTCTGGTCTGCACTTCCTCGGGCACAGCGCCGCTCGGCGTACCGGCTGGTTCCTGTGAAAGGGTGGGTACCCCCTTCTTTGCCCTCCCCCGCTTTCCCTTTGATCCTGCCGCGCACTGCGTCCGCACGCGGATCCCTGGCTCGCCCCCGCCTCGCGGCGGATTCTTGGTCATGCCGACCCAGCAGCCAGCCGCGCCGAGTACGAGTCTCCCCAAACCCTGTTGGAGCCTCTCCGGCTCACTCTGTGACCTGTTTTCTGATGCAGACTCGGGAACTGGGATGAAGGCAGAGCTTTCTACTCGGCCTGGGGTAAGTGCGGCTGCCCTCCCAAGCTGCCTGTGAAGAGCTACGCAGGAGGCTGTCAGCTTCATTCCGCCCCAACCTCTATCTCCGTTTTACTTAATTTTTCCGTAAAGCCAGGAGATTGTTTGCAGAGTTCTTTCACCCCTGACGGTATGTGACTCTGATCCTGGAGGAGAAGCTTTGATTCCTGTGGGATGTAAGCTGGTAACAGGTAGCTGGTGAGAGAGTTAGGTAGACGATTAGAGACTTGACCTTGTGGGAATCTTGTAAGCGTCCAAGGATGTTTTATTTACCTTCGGACTTGTTAGGAAAGAGCAGTGTTCTCTGTGTCTCAGGCAGGGGGGAGGGAGATGACCCAAGAAGAAAAGCTGCAGCTTCGGAAGGAAAAGAAACAGCAGAAGAAGAAACGGAAGGAGGAAAAGGGAGCAGAACCAGAAACTGGCTCTGCTGTACCTGCAGTCCAATGTCAAGGTGCGGGGGCTTTTTTAAAGGGCTTGGGGTGTGGAGCTGGTAGAGGGATGTATGGGAGAGAAGACCGGGGAGACAGGACAAAGTTGATTTGAGCAAGGGAAGAGCAAAGTTGTTTAGATAAAGCAGGGAGAGGTGTGGTTGGGCATACATATTACCTGTCTAGGGCTTGTGCACCTCTTCCTTCTGCCTTTTGTAGGCCCAACCAAAGAAGTGCCAGGACCAGGCAGGCACTTGGGCACTGCTGGGGAGAAAGTTCCACCTGGTCGGAGTAAAGCTGAACTTCGTGCGGAAAGACGGGCCAAGCAGGAGGCGGAGCGGGCCCTGAAACAGGCAAGGAAAGGGGAACAAGGAGGGCCACCTCCTCAGGCCTGCCCCAGCACAGCTGCAGAAGCCCTTTCAGGTATCTGCCCTTCTTTTCAAGACCTCTGTTGATTCTAATTCTTGTGTTAGCTCAGGCTTCCCCACAGTCAAACAGGTCTACCCTCCCGTTTTTTGCTTTGGGACCCAGAGTTCAAAATTCTCCCTTCAACCTCATCTTACTTCTGTTTCTTCTTTTACTCTTTTCTGTTTTTTCCCCTCTCCTGCCAGTTTTTCTTGATGTCCCTATGCCTTAAAGAAAAAAGTGCTCATTAAAACCTACAGTGTCTTAAAAAGATGATCATTTATTTTTTAGGAGTGAAGCGTGTCCCTGAGCACACTCAGGCTGATGACCTCACACTTCTGAGGCGGCTTGTTAAGAAACCAGAGCGACAGCAGGTAGGAAGTAGGTTTGGTGTGCAGCCAGCAAGAGCCTAGGGAGATGGGGTAGAGGGAGGAAGGGTGCCCAGGGCAAAGTGAGATCCTGGAGAAGAACTGGTACTCGGGTTAAAGTAGTCTCATTGTTTCCTTGCCAGCTTCATTCCATAAATTTTAAACTCTGGCCATTGTCCTATTCCTCTGTTTTATCAAGGTTCCTACACGAAAGGATTATGGATCCAAAGTCATTCTCTTCTCCCACCTACCCCAGTACAGCAGACAAAACTCTCTAACACAGTATATGAGGTAGGGTCCTAAAAAATTGTCATAATTTTTAAAGTCCAAAGAATTTTAGTAGCTTGGTATTGAAAGTGAGTGGAAATTTGAAATTAGATCTGTGGGAAAACTCAAGGAAAACACAAGGCAAAACTCTGGAGGAAATGGGGGTCTATGCTAGTGAAGGAAGTTCCTTTTCATCAGGAGCAGGTGGGCAGTAGGTACTCCAGCTCCCTTGCAAAGTGTGTGACACCGCCATCCCATCAGCATCCCATCCTCTGTGATCCACCCAGCCATGGTGCGACTCGGCCTGCAGTACTCCCAGGGCCTGGTCAGTGGCTCCACTGCCCGCTGTATTGCCCTGCTTCGTGCCCTGCAGCAGGTATGCCCCATCCTCCTCCCTCTGTGACCCAACCCCTAATTCCCCAATGCCACTCAGCTTCTTTTACCCAAAGTAGTCTCTGGGGGAAAGAGGAAGTGATTTCATCCCTGAACACTTTCCTCAGTGAAGCTTACCCCACCCCACTTGCAGACATCTTTATTAGTAAGCATTTTGCTGATCGACTTGTGTACACTATAGGTGATTCAGGATTACACGACGCCTCCTAGTGAAGAACTCTCAAGGGACCTAGTGAATAAACTGAAGCCCTACTTCAGGTGAGACCAACCAAATCCAACCCCACCTCGGCAGTCCTTGTGTCCTTCTCTTGCTCTTTTACCTCTGTTTTCCCATTTCTGTTCTGTCTTCTTTTTAAAGAATTTGTTTTAATCAGGAAAACTTTGTAAGTCGTAGAGTCACACTAACACAAGTATTGTTGTAGCTTTCTGACTCAGTGTCGCCCCCTGTCAGCAAGCATGTACAACGCCATCAAGTTCCTCAACAAGGAGATCACGGGTGTGAGCAGCTCCAAGCGGGAAGAGGAGGTGATGAGTATGAGGAATGAGCAAGGCATGCACCTCAGGGTAGAGCTCAGAAACATGCTCAGGGGTCCCAGGAGGGACAACATGGCCATTCTGCCCTGGTCAGTTAAGGAAGTGGTTGTGCTGACTTGTGCCACCTTTGGGCCCGTTAGGCATCTAGCATAATAATCAGAGGAAGAAATGTGTTCATTTCTTGGCCCCTAATCATCTTACTCCACTTAGGCCAAGTCAGAGCTTCATGCAGCCATTAATCGGTATGTGCAAGAGAAGATTGTGCTTGCAGCTCAGGCAATTTCACGCTTTGCTTATAAGAAGATCAGTAATGGAGATGTGATCCTGATATATGGATGGTATGGTCCAGACCCTATGACTAAGAAAATTGGGGGGTAAAATGATCTGAAGAAGGGGCTTTGCCCTTTAGCAGTGAGCCATCAGTTAGTGTCATTTATAACTGAATCCTCCTCTCCATTCACTCCAGCTCATCTCTTGTATCACGAATTCTTCAGGAGGCTTGGGCTAAGGGCCGGCGGTTTCGGGTGGTAGTGGTGGACAGCCGGCCATGGCTGGAGGGAAGGCACACGCTACGTTCTCTGGTCCATGCTGGGGTCCCTGCCTCCTACCTGCTGATTCCTGCAGCTTCCTATGTACTCCCAGAGGTGAGGGAAGAGGAAAGGGAGTCCAAAGTTAAAAGGGTAGAGTAGTATAGACATAATCCCACCCTCCCAAGGTTATAGTTATTTAGAAGTATCAGAATTAAATAACCCTGTTTATATTTAATAGGAAAAAATATCTACAGCATATAATAGCATTTCTAGTTTATTTTTCCCGTGGGAGGTGTGGGCCAATGGTCAGGTGTTTTCCCAAAGGAGCCAACATTAAGATTTATAATTCTATGTCTTACTGTTCTGGGCAGGAGTGGGGAACATTATTCTGCATTGATCATGTATCACATTCTCTTCCCCTTCTCACCCTCCTAAACAAATAGGTCTCTAAGGTGCTATTAGGGGCTCATGCACTCCTGGCCAATGGGTCCGTGATGTCACAGGTTGGGACAGCACAGCTGGCCCTGGTGGCACGAGCCCATAATGTGCCAGTGCTGGTCTGCTGTGAAACATACAAGTTCTGTGAGCGTGTGCAGACTGATGCCTTTGTCTCCAATGAGCTAGGTAAGGAGCCCAGGTGGGCAGAAAAGGAGGTTCCAGGGATATGAGAAAATTTAGGAGGGAGAGGGGAGGTTGAACTACAACTTGTTTTCTAAAAGGGCATAAACGGCTACACCTCCCATTGCAGATGACCCTGATGATCTGCTGTGTGAGCGAGGAGAACACGTGGCCCTGGCTAACTGGCAGAGCTACTCTTCCCTACGATTGTTAAATCTGGTCTATGATGTGACTCCCCCAGAACTGGTGGATCTGGTGATCACGGAGCTTGGGATGATCCCTTGCAGTTCTGTACCTGTTGTCCTACGAGTCAAGAGTAGTGACCAGTGAGTGGGGGAACACAGGGCCAATAAATGACATAGGTCAATAAATGACATACTCCCTACATGTAGCAACTCTGCTGCCTTTGCCTCTCTTTTAGTATCACCACCACTTAGATTAGGAGCCCAGACTCATCAACCCCATTTTAGCACCTGCTACCAATCTCAGACCTTTATGAAGATCTCAGGTGACCAGCTCCATGTCAGTATTTTGGGGTCAAAGTGAAGGTCAGTATGGACACCAAAAACTATCCAAGTCCAAGTATCTACTACATACCAGACACTGAGCCAGATAACGAGGAGTAATGTAAGAACAAGTCAAGAGTCCTATCCTTAGTATTTTAATATTATTACATTAATACTTATAATACTAGTATATTAGTATTTAGTATCCTTAATGTTGAATACTTATGTGTCAGAAACTTCTAATCCCTTATCTAGGAAGAGCTCTATGAAATGAAATTTTACAAATGAGAAAACCAGGACACAGAGAGGTTACGTTACTTGCCCAAGGTAACAGTCTGTAACTAAACCAGCTGTGATCTCAGGCATTTTGAATCCAGAGATTGTGCCCTTAACTTTTATGCTATCTGCTATTAAGCACTCATCAGGGTGGAGGAAGACAGACAATATCTACAGTAGGAGATAAATTATATTAGCAGTATGAACACAGTACCTTGGAAGCTAGAAGCAACCAAGGATGGTATCAGGAGATCTAACAAGATTGGAGAAGACTTCACAGGCAACATCTGACGTAGTTCTTGAAGGATAAGGAGTTTCCCAGTTGGAAAAAAACAGGAAGGCAGATCAGCAGAGGAAATGGCTTGAACACTACGACAGAAGAGGCCTTTAAATGAATGGCCAGTTCCAAAGTGTCAGGTAGTGTGGTGAGGCTAGAACCAAGGCCTATGTGGAGAGTGAGTGAGAAAGCTGCAGGGGTAGATTGGGGTTGGGGGCCAGATTGTGAGGCCAAGCATTGTGGTTAGCCTTGAAAAATGGAGCTATCCATTTTGTGTGTATATGTTTTTTAATGAAAAATCTCAAGCAGCACAGATGTAAACTATACAAAGAATTCCCATCACCAGATGTAGTAATTAACACATTTGCCACATTTGCTTTCTTTTTCCTTCCCTTTTTTAAACCTTGAATTGAGAGCAAACCCCAGACATTATATTTCACTGCTACACATAGCTTTATTATGTCTCTAAAAAATATGGAAATTTACTGTTACTGTTACACTTAGTAAATTCTCAGTGTTAGTCCAATCTATAAACAAATCCTTGTCTCAGAAATGAATTTTTACAATTAGTATGTTTGAATCAGGATCCTAACAAATTCACAATTACATTTGGTTATTATGTCTTAAATTTATTGTAGTCAAAAGCAGTCTTCCCAACCTCCCTTCTATCTCAAGATTGACTTGTTCCTAGAAACCAGGCTGATTGCTCTATACAATGTTCCCCATTCTGGCTTTGACTCTTTGCTTCTATGTGATTTCATTTCACTCATTCATCTAACTCCTGTATTTAAACTTTTTGAGCAAGAATTCTTATTAATTGGTGCTAAGTTTCAAATTGCCTCACAAAAGGAGGCAAATAATGGTTGGCTGTTCCATTTTCAGTTATGAGTGGGTCCAGTTTTAATTTTAAAGTTTTCCAACAAGATTTCATATAGTGGTTTCATCCACTGATGATGGTTGCCTGAATTATTTCATTAGGTTATGCAAAAGGTAATTCCCCCACCCCTCATCTTATTCTTTCTACTTACTAGCTAATAATTTCCTATAAAGAACTCATCAGTTAGTTACTCTGGATCACAATCCATACTGGAAAGAATGTTTCTTTTATTTGGAGTTTTCAGGGATTGATCACTAGTTACTTACAGTGATATGCAATGAGTAGCTGTTGATTTTTTGGCTTTCTCTTCTTTCTCATTTTTAAAGAGCATTATGAACTCATGGGTTTTTATACATTGAGCTACTCAATCGTCAAAATTAAGTAGAAGATCCACTGGGTCAGCTCAATGCTTTAAAAAGGTAACTGGTAGAGATTAGAGATAAAAACAGATCAGTTGAAAGATTGCCTATCAAGCAAAATTAAAAATGCTCCTAAACTTTGGTCTAGCAGTTCTGCTTCTAGGAATTTATGCTACCCATATAGTTGCATATGTTTGAAGTAATAAGGTTACTTACAGCAACAACAGCAACACTGTTTATAATTACAGAGACTGGAAACCACATAAATAGTCATTGATATTAATAAGGGGTTGATTATACCACACCCATATAATTAAATACTAAGGAGTCAGCAAAGAATGAGGAAGGTTTTTATGTACTGAAATGGAACAGTCTCCAAGGTACACTTGGTTAAAAGAAATAAGGACAGACTGTCATTGTTGTCTGAATTATAAATACATATGCATTTGTATACACGTATAAATACAGAAACTCTCTTGGACTATAATGAGAAACTGATTGATCTCCTGTATGGATGTGGTTTAGGAGACTGGAAACAGGTGGGAGTCTTCACTTTATACCTTATGTACCCTTTGAATTTTGAGCCATGTAAAGTGCCTTCTTCCAAAATAAATACAACTATTAATATAAAAAAGATTTTGCAGTAGTTAAACAAAAGATAGCTGTGTTTGTGACATGAGTAAACGTTTGAAGCTGAGAGCTGTCCAGATAAGCATGTAAAGTAAGGTCTGTTAGCGGATCTGCAGCCTCTACTGCAAGTTTGCGCTCTCACAAAGCCACAGCACAGCCTTAGCTTGTCTTTAGGCCACTATAGGCCTGGGATGGGAATCCTTTTACTCCAGCGTTTTGTCTTAGCTATTCTTAAATACTTTGTGTAATTAAGGGAATTCTGTAGGTTAAAGTATTTGGAAAGACAAAGATTGGTATACCCCAGTCCCATTTGTTCATACATCCAGTACTGGGCTAGTCCATATGTGGAGACCTGCGAAATTCATATGGCGTTGAATGTCACAAGAAAGGGCAGACATTTGGTACATCCTTCCTTTCTCCACTGTAGCCCATCTACACGGGGACAAAGTGGGGAAGGCCTAGGCCCAAGGCTGGGGTCCAAGCCCAGAGCTTACTCGAGTGTACAGTCCCCATGCCCGGCTTTTCTACTTCTGCTCCTTCCCTTGTCCTTTTCCCAAACCCCCTTTCATAATGTTTCTGTCACGGGTCCATCCTTGACTGGATCTGCGGAGGGGGCCACTGTCATCCTCTGGCGGCAAGGATTCCTTTGTCTCCCTGACTCTGTCTTCCGCTCAGACGGCGCCAGGGTTGCGGTTAAAGACTCTCACGACCAGTCTCGCCCTGCCTGTCACGGGCAGGTTGTCCATACTGTAAAGGTAGGGGTCAGGGCTCGGAAAATAACAGGCAGGTGCGGGGTGCGACCACGCGAAGCTCCGTAAAGGCCGCGTGGGAACTCTCAGGGGCTCGACCGTCACCGCGCAGGCGTCAAGCTTCCCTTCCGGGCACTGCAATTCCCATAAGGCCACGCAGCGTCCCCCGCGCAGCTGAAGCCCAGGAGCTCGCGCGCTCGGGAAGGGCTCGGGGATTCTCGCCACTCTGCACTGTGGAATACAGTCTAATAGAAAACCTCTTCGGGGACGAACTCCCGACAAGCTCACGTGTTTACCTTGTACACTCTAGATGGGGAGTGGGGCGGTCAATGAAGAGTAGCTGCCGGATTTCGTCATAAAGCCGCGACCCCACAGACGGCGCCATCTTCGAACCTGGACTTCCGGAAGGACTTTGGCGAGGGTGAGTGTACCGCCGCGGGGTGTGCGGGGGCCCCACGATTACTCCTCCCCCTTCTTTTTCCGTAGCCCTAAGATATTGGGAACCAATTCCCAGTTCCGCTATTCGCTCTCTGCACAGCATCTGGAACTCCAGCCCCTGCGGAGTTACAGAAACCATCCTCTCCACATTCCCCACAGTGGCACCCGTGCATCCTACTTCTTTGCCAGCCACAGGCCTCGCCTGCCTCTTTCCCCGACGCGGTGTCCTCAGCACAGCATCCTGTGTCCCGGCCTTGGCATTTCTTACATTGCATACCTCGGACTCTGCGTTCTTACAGTAGTTCTCAGCCTAGAAAATTCAGGGCTCACCTCCAACACAGGCTAGTGGTGAAAGCTTCCTGCAACGCACAGAATTGAGGAAAAGCAGGCGGTCACTCCTGGAGTGATAGCGCGTCAATCTTGTTCTGCTGTGTCCCAGCCTTTTCCTTGAAGAGGGTTCTAACCCCGGGAGTTGTGCCCTGCGCCCTGCAACCCCATTGGCGCAGCCAAGGGCCAGTTATGTTTCCCTGTCTAGTTCTTTAATTCCGCGGCAATTTGGTGTATGCTAAGGAAGGCGGAGGTGGCGACTTCTCCCCACCTGTGGTAACCCACTTTGTTGGAGATGTGTAGTGTATGGTCATGCCTTTTCGCCCCAGGGGCACGTAAACTTAAATCATTCCTGTTGTTGTCATCGTCACTTGTTGCTATTCCTTTCTTACCAACTGTTCCATTTTCTTAATATTCTTTACTTTAAATTTATTTTTAAAGTTAAAGTATTTTGGTTTCCATTTAATCAATATAGGGGAAATCATAGGTTTCATGGGTATAGTTTTTTACACAAGTTAAAATAAAAATTAGTGAAATAAAGTTGTTCATTTTTGTACCACTAAAATCGTCTTGCATATCACCAGTTGTACCATAGGAACACTTTGGGACACAGGGCATTATACGAAACTGTGTTTAAAGTAATTCAAAACTCAAGGAACAATGTTACCTAATTATTTTCCTTGACTGGGGAGCCTGGAGCAGCGTGGGAATGAGACGAATTGAGGTGCAAATGTAAACTTTTATAAACTCTAATATAAATTTACTAAACGACCCTTCCTTTACTGTGTCCAAAGTATGTATTGTGAAATCATAAATAGAAATTAACCACCATACTCTGCTGCTACCTCTAGAGAAATGAATTTTTAAAGGGACTTTTATACTTTGAGAAGCTAGTCATTCAATCATCAAAAGTTAATTACTGCACTTACTATGTACCAGGTTCTGGATACAATAGT